TGACTACCAATAGATGGTTCAGGAAGCTCATACTGTGTTGAGGTTCTGGTAAAGGCTTCATGAAACAAAGGGTAAGTAGAAGCTGATAGGTAAAAATAATGTTGGTGGAGGAAGGGATGGAGTGGAGAATGATGTAAGGGAAATAGATTCAGTTGGAAGGTACCTGAACCGTCCCAGAGAAAGGAGAACAGCCCACACAGAGGAACAGGCTAGAGTAATCAGCAGGTGCAAGAACTTTAGAATTGAACAGGACTCAGATTCTCAATTCAGTTCTGCCACCAACTACTTACTTATTCAATCCAATTGTGTGGTCTTTAACATGGGAATAATCATTGTATTTATTTTGTTGATAGAATTGCATGAAATAATCTACGTGAATGCTTCACACCTGAAAAATCCTCAGAATCTCTTAGTTGTATTTAATACACACTAAGACCCTGGTAACCAAGACAGTTAGGTATTGGGGGATAACACATTGTTCTCTGCAATACCCTCACTGATCCCAAAATGTCAAACAAAATTGACTGCCAACAAGTCGAGTCTGACTCATAGCAGCCCTACATAGAGAGGTGCCTGGGACTGTAAAGATGAAGCAGACAGTCCCATCGTTCCCTGGTGGATCTGAAGTAGCAGCCTTGCCGTTAGCAGCCCAATGCCCAACGCAGTGTGACACAGAGAGGGCAGGCTCTCTTCACTCACTGCGAAATGTCCATCGCCTCGCTCGCTTCCTTGCATATGGTTGGCCTTCTAAAAACGTCTACTGAATAAATGAATCAAATAAGTCTTTCCTCTGGCATGCTTAATTGATAAACATGATAAGTTTGCCTCCCCTCTCTCCCATTATTCATTTCTCAAAAACTGTATCCCTTCTATCTCAACTATTAGTGACTTAGTCCGTGAATCCATTATTCAATCAATACTTGATGGAGCATCCCTTGTATGCCAGGCCTCACTCCAGGGCTTTTGAACACAAGCGTGGCCTCTGCTCTCATGGAGCTTCCATTCTAGACAGCAGAAATGGCAGTAAACAAATAAGTAATGAAGATGATATTGGAGACATACTCTGAAGGAAAGGTAGCATCACCATCTCCCGTCCTGCTTTCTGACCATTTTCTCTGCTTCAAGTCCACCCGCTGTCAGGGCAGTCCATCCAAGTTACGAATCCTAACCTTGTCACAGCCCTACCTGAAACCTGTACATGGCTTTTCCAATCCACCTGAGCTACTTGCCACCCACGACTTCATTCTATGCATTTCTCTAACCTCATCCCCCCCCCCGCCGTCGTATTCCCCAACTTCTATATTTCAGTGTTATTTCCTCACTTCTTCCCATTTCTGATGTCCCTGAGTGACACAACCAGTTGACTGCTAGACTTCCTTCTAGAAGCCACCCAGAGCTGCCTCAGAAGAAAGTCTTGGTGACGTGTTTTTGAAAGACCACAGCCTAAGAAGTGCAGCTCTGTTGTGGGACAAAATGAACTAGACGTTGGCTCTTGTCTCTGGTTTCTGAAAATAGCTCATAATTGTCAGCAACCACGGGGCTTACGTTTTAGAAAATTGCCAGATAACCTTTAACCTTATGTAAATGTGTAGGAGCTACACAGGACCTCAGCAACAGGCTGCAGGAAAAGGGGGATGTGAGGCACCCAATCCTGTGTATCGTTTGACTCAAGTGATCATGACTATGCACTAAGGCCCCATTCGTAAGGCCCCCAATATTCACGGAGGTTCTGGTGCAGAAGAGACCTTGTAGTTCTCTTTAGAGATTCACAGACCAGTGAAAAAAAGTTGCGCTTGGGAGAGGATACAGGATGTCCATGGGGTGAATGGGGGCTTCATGCTGCTGGGACCTCCCCGAGGCCTGCTATGATGTACCTCTCTCCTTATGGGCTCTGTCTTTATAGTAAACTTCATTGCTGATAGGTGCTGTTGGGTAGATTTCAACTCATAGCAACCTACATGCAACAGAACGGGTAACTTTTAAGTATAGGCTATAAACCCCCCCCCCCCCCACACACACACACACACACATATACGCCATTGCCATTGAGTTGAGTCTGACTTAAAGCAACCCCGCAGGACAAGATGAACTGCCCCATACGTATTCAAGGCAATATTCTTTAAGGCAGCAGGCTGCCACAGCTTTCTCCTGCAGAGCTGCCGATGAGTCACACCTTGTGGTTAGCAGCGAGCACCAAATCATCAGGGCTCCAATACAGGTCATAGTTCCCGTACATTTTGTGAAATTGAGAAGATTAATTTTGCGTTATAGAAAATTAGTGAACTCCCAGGGGCCAGTGAGCCAGCAGAGGCTGCATAGCCAGAGTTGGTTTTTGAAGACTCAGTTCTGGGCAGCTGGATGGCAGAGAAAGTTTGCATGGCAGTCAAAAAGGGCTCGAGTCCTTCTAACTGGTGACCAGGTGCCAGAAGTTGAGAGAGAGTGGAGAGAGTGCTCATATGAATTGTAGAGCGTGTGAGAACTCCTGTGCCTATGGCTGCTGCTGGGTGCCCTGGCCCCAGGGGGCCAGGAATAGAGTCGGATCTACTGCTGGGTGGGTAGATGAGAGAAGAAGTGTGTGAAAGAGTTGGGCAGCAAGGTATGGAGATAGGGGAAATGAAAACCTGGCTGTTTTCAGACGGAAATTCTATTCATGCTGATTCTTCCCATGCAGTTAATGATTAGGGGCGGTTCAGACAGTCACGTCCACTCCACGCACATGGTGTTGGGGTTGAGTGGACAGCAACCAATCTGGTATATTTTGGTCTTTTTGTGCCTCAAGTACTCACTGTATCACCTCTTGCCACATTGCCTACTGTTCCCTATTTCCCATTCATATAGGATACCTATTTTGGGTATCTTTCATGGTCAATCTCACCCTCTTCACCCCACATCTTCACCTTTTGCCCCTATGTATCCCGTACCATATTTCTACTATTGCACTTACAGCCTGTATTTTAGTGATATCACTTTGCTTCATGTCTCCTGAACCTAGCGACTGCTTAAAGTCGGTTCCATTTTTTAATCAACTAAGAAGTCTAAGCACAATGTCTCAGATATACTAGGCCTTCCGTGAATGCCTGTATGCTTTTTCAAATGAAGCTCTTAGTTCAAGAAATCACAAATGAGTGGAAAGGTAGACATTGCCGTTATAAAATCAAAGAGCGTTACTGTATTTCATTCCTGGTCCTCACTTTGTTGTTTTATTTTTCAGCTCTCATCAGTGCAGACCTTGGTGAGTCCCCCTTTCTTTCTTCTTCAGTGTCTCTGGCTGAGAATCCCTTCCTATCAGACACAAAGCATTTACGGCAGCTTCCTGAGACGCCTTGCCGTCTCCTGTTTTTCTTGCCGTGGCCATCATGAAGGGGAAAGGCCAGGCCAAGGTCACCTAGTCCACTCCCATTGCCCGAGGATGTAATGGTCACCCTCGGGCCTGGGTAAAGAGTGGATGTCTAAGCAGCTCCTGACCTTTGCTGGACCCTGCACTTATTTCTCTCGCACATGGACCTCACGCAACTAGGCAAGAACTCCCCAATCCCGTGGCTAAAAAGCAGGACTGAAGAGAGGTCAACAAACCAGGAGCCCCCTCGGGAAGTTTCCCATCCGGGAGGTGCCAGTGGGGAGATTGCAACTCCCACATTGTCCGGAGTAAAATCTTCCAGGAAATTCCTGGGGAGCAAAAGGACACTCCCCTGGGCTCCGGCCACTCCTGCGTCTCTAGATGCAAGTTGCTTCATCCCCGAGTCACCGCCGAGATAACACGACTGCAGGAAAACCATCCAGGATGGCCAGTTGCAACTCCCTGTTCTCTAGCCCAGCGAGCGATAGAATCCAACACTGAGAGTTTGTCCCCCAATGATTTTCAACTTCGACTTTAACCTCATTTATACCATGATGTAAAAGAGTGGGTTGCATTTTTTTCTTTAGTCGTTTGTCATTTTCATTGTTCCCTTCTTTTTCTGAGGAGAGACTAGGAAAGAAAATACTAAATGCAGAAAGTATCAGGGATTGACAAGTAGGTCCTTTCCAGGAAGAAATTTTTCAAAAAGGGAGATGAGACAGAAGATAAAATATGTATATCGCTTTTTCTTTCTTTCTTTTTTTTTAGTTGAGACTTACTGTCAGTCTTCTGGGTTAGTGAGCATCTTGGATAGTTGAGGAGTCATGAATAGAAGAAATCTCTGCCCCTCCTCCCCTTTTCCAAAGCAGCTGCCCCAGGGCTTGATCTTTGCCTAGGTCCTCCCTGAATTCTAGCCAATATCTTGTCCGTCCCTTGCTCTGCCACAGCTGGTTAGCTAGATGACTGTGCCAGTGATATGATTGTCATGGGCATTTGCTGCATCGTCTCCAAAATCAAAGCCCGGGTGAGTGAATTTCTCTAGCGATTTTCAGTGCCAACATCTTAGGATAATAGACTGTATCACTGTAGGGAACGTGCCCAATTGTAATTTTACAACTCCTTGGAAAGTTCTTATGCGTTTCTGAGTATGGTGAAGAAACTGGGGCATGAGGAGACATTCTCTACAATCCAATTTCATAACTGGCTAACAACTTCCCCTGAAGGCATCTGACAGTGATTGAATCCTGCTGGCAGTGCTGTTTTGAGACATGTTTGCTGATTGCCATCCCCGTAGTGGGTTTCGCGTTGGGTTTCTAGCTCGTCAATTTGATTACATCAACTGTTCCATGGGACAAAGATGTGGCTTTCTACTCCTGTAAATAGTTACCATCTCAGAAAACCACATCCTGCCTAACAGGGTGTCTCTGCGTTGGAATTGCCTGAATAGCAGTGAGTTTGGTTTTTGGAGTTTTTTATCCTCTGAGTAATCCGTCTCCCCCAGAAGTGGGTGGCTGCTGCTGGCTGCGTGCAACTTTGAGAAAGCAGTGCCCCTCCCTGGGACCCTTGGACGGAATTTCCAAATCAGCTCCTCTCCTCTAGATGCCACACATTGCAGAGCTGGAACTGCAGTGTCTCCACCTCACACTGTTTCTCTTCTGTTCAGCAACTGTTTCCAAGAGTGTGATTTCCTTCAGTCCTCTGTGGACACTCGTCTTCCAAGGAGAGAGAGTGATTCTGACCTGCAATGGATTTGACTTCCGCTCATCAGGAAAAACGAACTGGTACGATGAGAAAGCTACGAGACTATACACAGGCGACAGCTTTAAGCCTTCGGTTTCTGGATGCTACAGATGTCAGTTCCAGGACTTAGCCCTAAGTAACCCTGTGTGTTTGACATTTACATCAGGTGAGAAAGAAGTGGGAATTTCATTGAGAAATCATTTCTAAACAAAACTCAATCTTTTTTCAAACTAGCACCATTCACCTATAAGGCATACTTTTGCTTCACATCATGGACAAAGAGAAACTTTAAAAACTCTATCTATACTTCCACATAGGGAATATAATTTGTTTCTTAATTTTAAATATAAAATTTCAATTTCTAGTCTATATATTGTATATGAGATATACAATATGTACATATTATATGTGTGTATGTACCAATTATAGTTCATTCAGGCTAATAGACAATGGCAATACATAGCTATATGTAAAAGGACACAATAAATAGCTATATGTAAAAGGACATAATAGCTAAAGGCTATCTGTGAACCCTACAAACACTATAATTTCCACTGAAGAGATTAATGTCTCTAAGTCTGTGTTCTTACACTTTGATTTGAAGCCGAAATTGCCTGGAAACTTGTAAGTACACAAACACCTAGGAAATACTCTGTATCAATTGAATCCAAATCCAGAGGAATGAGGCTCAGGAATTTTCATAACAATTTGCTCAGATAAAAGGAAATTTGTTAAGCATTTTATCTAAACTTTTAATAATTTTATGCCTATAAAATCTTGGAATTGTAAATAGCATAAGAATGTTCTCATAGTTATATGTTTCTCTCGATCTACATATAGGCATATTGTGAAGTAGGTTGGCGTTTACATTTCAGATGATCATTTTTATAATCAGCATCTGAAACCATTTATCAAACCACCCAGTAGCTTGCCCTGTTGCCCAACTCCTTTATTCTTGTAAGATATTCTTTTCCCCTTCACCCAAGTAAACATCCATCTACCTTCTAGCCTATGGCTTCTCCTTCCCTCCTTTCCCCTCATGCCCCTAGTAACCATCAAAACGTGTTTCTTCTGGTATGAAAATCTTTCTCTTGATTTTTTCATAACAGTGGTCTCATACAATATTTTCCCTTTTGTAATTGACTAACTTCACTCAGCACAATGTCTCCAAATCCATTCATGTCATGAGATGGCTCACAGTTTCATTATTACTGTTTAGCTATGTGTATTACAGTGAACCCTCGTTTATCGCGGTTAATCGGTTCCAGACCCTACCGTGATAAATGAAATTCTGCGAAGTAGGATTCCTTATTTGTAAATCAAATATTTTCGTAGTTAGAGCATAGAGGACATGAAAAAACACCCTTTAGTCACCATTACACTCGTATTACCCAATTTATTAAATGAAAAAGGGAAAATACAGTAAAACATTTTGGACGTTACAATTATCATTTATTATTTTTTATATTATTTATGGCATCAAGCGTGTACAGTATGAGCCAATCAGTGGCAGTAATGACAGAACATGTGCTGTTACGCAAAAACCACGATAGAGTGAAGCCGCGGAAGTCAAAGCTCGAAGTGGCGAGGGTTCAGGGTATTCCACTGCATGTACGTAACTAAGTCTGTGTAACCACTCTTCCACTGGTAGTCATTTAGGTTGTTTCCGTCTTCTTGCTATTGTGAACAGTACTGCGATGAACACGAATGTGCATTGATGTCTGTTGGTGCTTCATTCCTTATTTCTTTAGGGTATATACTGAGTAGAGGCATTGCTGGGTCATGGGGCATATCTACACCTGACCCAAGCCATGGCATTTTCAATGACCTCATATGCATGTGGAAGTTGAACATTTGAATAATGAAGACTGAACAAGAATTGATGTATTTGAATTGTGGTGCTGGCATAGAATCTCGAATGTACCACGGACTGCCAACGAACAAACAAATCTGTCTTGGAACAAGTACAGCCATGTTTCATCTCCTGCTATGGTGTTTCCAGTAAAGTTTTCAGGCCATCATTTGTTTAACATACCTCTTGAAAACACTGTTATTGCCTGTCCTTGATTGGGTACAATTTTCACACCCACCAAGTAGAAAGTTTACTCAACCTTAATTTTTTCAGTCAGAATTGTGTAAGAGGAGCCAATTTAGATGTCTTTGGTGTTGGCTATTATTTCTGCTGTCAATCATCAGTTATTTTCAAGGGAAGAAACAAGATGTTTCCTTGTAGATTGATGTGAATGGTTTTCCACTATGGACGTCATATTTAAGGTCATCTTGTCCCTCCTTAAAATGAGTTATCCATTTGTAAACTGCTGGTTTTGGGGGGGCATTGTTCCCTTGAACTTTTTCTAAATCATCAATGATTTAACCATTCAACGTTCACCATTAATATGATGTTGTTCTTGCTTCCTTTGTAGCAGAATTTATATTTCTCTGATAGGGAGTCCTTTTAAATTGATGTTTTATCCATCTTGGTGCCTCACATTAGATCCTGTTGAGAAATATTATAACAACCTAGTATGACTTTATTTTGTTGCAAAATTTCAAAATCCCATCCTTAGGTTGTCCACAATACACATTTTAAATGAATTTTCTGAATACCCCCTTATACATTGTCACATATTTCAAGGACTTAATAAATAGTCGCTAATTTGTCATCCCAAAAAACTTCCTTCTTGGGTTTTCCTTTGTTCTTCCTTCTTGTACCTTCCTGCTTTCTTAGCTTTGTTTTGGGGAAAATGCTGCCCTTTGGGTGTCCTTTGCTTGATTATTTGGAGGGACTTATTCCTCATGAGTGTTATTGTTCATTTTAGGGACATGAGTTCATTTTCAAATCTGAATAAAATTAAATGGCAGTTACTTTAAGAATCCCTTCTTCCCATCCGCCATCCTAGAGAATGTACTTGAAATAATTATTAAAAGATGGGAGAAACAAACAAGATGAACCAAATAACTGGTTTTTGTCTCCTCCAGCAACACTCATCCTTCAGGGTCCAGTCTCTGTGTTTCAAGGAGACGCCGTGGTTCTGAGATGTAGGACAAAGGACGATATAAAAGTGGAATATTCTATCATTTACAACAATAATAAAGTAGTTAGCAATGGCTCAACATTCACTATCCCTCAAGCAAGCAGGGAGAATAACGGTGATTATACTTGTAAAGGAGTAAAGGAGCCTACGAAGAGCTTTTCTTCAAACACAGTACACATCAATGTGGAAGGTAAAGTCTTCAGTGTTCGGGGAAATGAGTGAGTCACAGGAGTGACCCTGGGGTTGGAGAGGTGGAACGGGAAGAAAAGAGTAGACCATGGAACTGCAGACCCATTCCTATAAGGAACAGTGACTACAATAGCAATGTAGACTGAAGGATGTGACGAAGCAATGTAAGCCCTCCCTTTGCCTGCTTGTTCGGTTTGCTAAACTAAGGGTGAATTGTGTTTTTCTCCTGAGAAGTTCTGAGTCTCATTAGAGGCTGTTGGGCCCTTCTCTCTAGGTTTTCCAACTCCTGTGCTGACAGTCAGACCCTCCAAACCCGTGGAAGGGAGCCTGGTGACCCTGACCTGTGAGATACAACTCTTTTCACCAAGGGCAGACATCCAGCTCCAGTTCCGATTCTTCAAAAATAAGCAAGACCTGGGCTCAGGCTGGAGCCCTTTCCCAGAGTTCAAGATCCCCGCCGTATATCAGACCCCAAACTATTACTCCTGCAAAGCAAAGTCAGTGACTTCTAAGACATGGCACGAGAGCAATAAAGTCCAGATTCCTGTACGGAGTAAGTATCCATGAGCATTGTGGTTTGCAGGGGCTGGTACTGGAGCAGGGAAGAGTAGGCAGAGCTGCCCAAGAATGGGAGCTACTGATTCCTGCCCGTGGGAATGGGGGTGGTAGTGGTGGTGCTACATTAGAGAAGCTAAGTTCGAGAAAAGACTGGATGAGATTTTTTTTTTTTATGCTATTTGATCCAACTCTTTCTTTTCTCTCTGAAGACTGTCTTCCTGGACACCATTAATTTGCTACGAGCCCTGCATAGTGATGGTAAAGAACTGACCCATTTGATTGGGCTGAGTGGACTTTGTTCAGTCAGATGGTGTATTAGTCTAGGTACTTTGGAGAAACAAATCCACAGCAACTCATGTATAAGAGAGAGTTCTATGCAAAGAAAATGTGCATCATGAAAACATCCCAACCCAATGCTGCCCAAGCCCACAAGTCCAACATTAACCCATACCCAACACCAGTCCGCAAAGTCCTCCACCTCACAAAACAGAGGCAATAATGCCGACTGCAGGAGGAAAGCTGAGTCAGTGAGTGTGTAAGCATCTCAGCACTGGCAGGGGTCTCCACATGGCTGCTCCAGCACCCAGGGCTGCATCGGGGTAGGTCCATGTAGCTTCTCCTTGGGGATGTCTTGTAGGAAGTCATTCTTGCAAGCTGAAGCAGGGAACTGCTAAGGCAGCTGCACCCGATGCAACCATCACAGAGCAAGAGACCCGAGAACTAGAAAGGCGAGGCTTCACCACTCATTTATCACTCCGCCTTTCAACCAGCACCACGTGATTATTGGCCAGGCTGGCACAATTAACTAACTCAGATGGGCAGAGTCCTAGAATGCTAAATACCTGGAGCAGAGCATCTACAAACAAGAAAACCCCAGGAACAGGCTTTAGGACTAAGCTAGATTATCCCTTGATGTCACTCAGGATGGTCCTTTATCCATTGTTGTTTTTGCCGGTGTCTCTAAAATTGTATAGGTACTCCAGCATGACTACCAACCATTGCCTACATGCCTCCCCTGACTAAATGGAGTCTGGTCTCAGGAAATCTTCTTGAACATTAGAAACTCACAGTCTGAGGTTCATACTTTTTTTTATCAAATTAGTGATTGAGATTCAGTATAGACCATCAAGCCCTGGTCAAAGAGAAATGATGGAGTTCAACAGTACGTGGCACAGGAGGGACTCAGCTCTGGACATCCTTGCCAATAAGCAAAAATCTCGTCATTCCTCACTGTGGCACTTCTCTTACTGAAACCCACCACATCACCCCCTTCACTGCTTCCTGCTTAATCTCCCAGACATCTTGGTCTCTAGGCCCTCAGCACTCCAACAAGCATCTGCATCGGTGGACTTCCTTGACTGGCCCAGTTGCCATCCCATCCTTGAATGTTTCTTCACATCTTCCTTCTGGTTTCCAACTTCTGTAGAATTGAATGTTTTCCTCTGGATCAGTGGTTCTCAACCTTCCTAATGCCGCGACCCTTTCATACAGTTCCTCGTGTTGTGGTGACCACCCCCAATCATAAAATTACTTTTGTTGCAACTTCACAACTGTCATTTTGCTACTGTTATGAATTGGGTGACCCCTCTCAAAGGGTCGTTTGACCTCCAAAGGGGTCGCGACCCACAGGTTGAGAACCGCTGCAGATCATCAGATGCTTGAGTTCCTGCTCAATGGCTTGTTCTCAGTGGGAACCAAACTCACTGACAGAGTGATCCTCGTGTCAGGGAGCAGTTCATTCTCGGCAGTAAGCAATGTGAAAATCCATGCAGCACTCAGAGACAAGCAACATCATAGTGTCTCCAAAGATCTGACCATGGGGACGGTGAGAACCAAGACAACACCCCTTCCATGTTGAGCATCCAATGCCAGCTTGCTTCCAAAACTGCTGTAGTTGTGGGGGTTGGTAGGTGCCATCGAGTTGGTTCTGCCCCGCAGTGACCCTAAGCACAACAGAACAAAACACCACCCAGTCCAGCACCACCCTCACAATTGTGTTCCTAAGCCTGAGCCCATGGCTGCAGCCACGGTGTCCATCCATCATGTTGAGGGCCTTCCTCTTTCTCTGGCCCTGTCCTAGTTGTAATAGCCAATGAAAGAAAAGCTCTGTGAAGTGCTGCATCTCACCTGGTGCTGTCTCTTCACTGATGGGAAACCCCAGCATCATTTTTAAGGAGACAATGATTCCGTATTGCACTAGGAGTCAGAAATAGACCAAGATACTAAGTGGCCATAGGCAGGACTCCCAGGACATCTCTGACATAATTCTCTCAACTGTAACTAGAAAGACTGGATTCACGGAGACTCCAGAAGCAGAAAAGGAAGCCCCTGGAAGGATGTGTGAATCTGAAAGGGCAAAAGGTCAAGGGCAGGGCCCTGGGACCAGCCACAGAGCAGGGAGAAACAGAAGTAGGACTAGCAAAGTGACTCTGCTTTCGGCAAAAGGTAGAAAAGCTCCTTCATGGTCATAGCTAAGAAGTAAGCGAGTTGCAGTACATGCAGGTAAGGTTGTGCATCTCCTGGCGGTAGGAGAGGGGGCTTTATATCTGAGGCACCATCAGGTGGGCAAGACCATCTAGCAAGGAGACACAGGAGGGGAGGAGGGGCCAGATGTCTGGTAGAGAAGGAAAAGACAAGCTAGTGAGTACGGCGCACAAGAGCCAAGAGTGTTAGAGTCCTGTGGGGTGAGCACTGGAGATCATGAATTTGCCCAGGTTGAAACCTACAGTAAAAACATAGGAGCAATCGTTTGACCGCTTTTTATCTCTTCCTCAGTCCCTGTGTCGCAGCCTGTCCTCACTCTCACGCCTACGGGCTCCATGGCTCTTGAGGGGGGCAAGGTGACATTTTCCTGTAAAGCTCACAGAGGCTCTTTCCCCATCATGTACCGGATTTATCGTGATGATGAGCTACTGAAGGAAGCAAAAGTCTCTACTTGGAAGACACTATCTTTGAGCCTCATTGTAACTGCAAAGCATTCTGGGAACTACCGCTGCTCAGCTCACAATGACGCGGGGTCCCAGCACAGTCAAGCAGTCACCCTGCGCATCAGAGGTAAGCTCCGAGTTTCTCGTTCCCTCACCCACCTTTGGCCCTTTCAGAAATGCGTTTTACCTTTCCGTGACTTCTGCATGTCCTTGGGCAAATGCACGGTGCTTCCCTGACTGCCTCAGTCACCACGCCAGTTGTTTGCCTCACCCGGGCCTCCTTCCTTGTGTAGCCAAGGTGCCATCACGCCCCCCCCCCCTCGGCCCAGCAGCTGCTTCTCAGCTCCTGGAGAACCAACTGTTTCGCTGCTTTCCCCCCTTTCTTTCCACTTATCGTTTGAATCCTCAACATCCCGACTGTCATTCATTCTTAGTAAGTACACGTTCAGTTCCCAGGGGCGTAGAGGGTCTCCTGTCCCTTTAATATCAGACATGGAGAATTAGCAGTGTAAAAAGCCAATGAAGTACAAAGGCAGGTAACAAGATCATAATTAGTCCAAAGTAGTTGGCCATTATTGAAACCTACCATAAGGAGCAGAAACCAAAAAATGGACAAGTTGACTTTTATTTTTGGTGTTGGTGGTGGTGGTGGTGGGGGTGTCCATAAAGCATTTGTAGAATCATTAAGGCAATAAGATTAGCGGAGGCACCTGGGTGAGTGAAAGCCTGGAATCAGGGCAGAAGACAGTCACAAGGGAACCAGAGACTGCCTCCCCTTTGTTTCCTGAGCTTTATGCCCTCCAGGCCATTAAGCTAGTTGTCCAATAGTTATAAAACTCAAACAACTTCAGCCTAGTCTTGAACCTCAGAGGCAGGCGATTCATGGGTGGTCAAATCCAGGCCCAACATTAGGGAGATCATAATGTGCAACTGGGCTTAAAAGCAGCCTCAGTCCCCTGCCAACAGGAAAAACCTAGACCCCAGCCCCTCCGACAACAACGTTCCAGGACGCACCGGAGCTCTGGAGGCAGACAGCGAGGGAAAGGACGGAGAGACTGTGCTCACAACAGCTGGTGGCTGGATTGGAGCTTAAATTCTGAGCACTGGGTTTGCAGAAGACTAGGGTTTTGCAGTGGGAATCTGTGTTAGACCAGGTTGACTAGAGAAACAAATCCAATGACATTCGTGTATATGTAAGAGAGAGCTTTATATCAAACGACCATTGCATATTGGGTAAAAAACCCCAGCCCAGTCCAAATCAAGTCCATACGTCCAATATTAGTCCATATGGCCGATACTAGTCCACAAATGCCTCTTCAGACTCATGCTGCCACGCACAATGATGCCGCTTGTGGATCCAGTGACAGGGAAGCATTTTCACAGGGCTTCTCCAGTTCATGAGTGTGTCTCCTCAACAGGAAGGTGAAGCAGAGATGGAGCATGTGGCCCACTTTCAGGGAGAAAGAGAGGGCGTTTCCAGAATCCACAGGCTAGACTCCGCCCCTACACGCTTAATATCCTCAAGTTGACACGAGAATATGAGACCACCACAGAGCCCTAAATCCATTTTGGGTTTCAAAGACCTTCAGCCCCATTGAGTTCTCGCTAACTATTAGCAACAATGAGACAATCCTTGCCCTCAGGCAGAGTGTATTTGCTGGCTAGCCCCGGAAGAGATAGTCAAGCACTGTAGGGTCCTGGGTCCTCCTGAAGGCCTCCTGAGAACCATTAATTTGCACTGGCCACTGATTGAAACCTACAGTAAGAAGCAGAAGCAACGATTGATTTTTTTTTTCTCTCTCTCTCTCTCTCTTCCTCAGTCCCTTTGTCTCAACCTGTCCTTACCCTCACACCTCCTGTGGCCCAGGCTTTTGAGGGGGACATGGTGACATTTCGCTGTGAATCCTCCAAAGGCTCTCCCCCTATCTTATATAAGCTTTGGCACAATGAGGCCGTCCTTGGGAGCCAGTCTAACCCCAACGGAGGAAGCGCATCCTTCAGCTTTGCTGTCATCACCAAGTATTCCGGAGATTACTACTGCACCGCGCAAACTGCCTGGGAGCAGCAGTACAGTGAAAGGACGAGTGTCGTCATCAAGGGTAAGTCTTGCCTTCTTGCCAATAACCCACCCACCCCCGTCTCAAGTCCCTCCTCAGGTACTTTCCAATCTCAACCTTAATCAACCTAATCTGCCTCTTGGCTCCCTTTATAGAAAACCAGCTGTTTACAGGCCTCAACCCTCACTCAGACCTGGCTCAACCAGACTCCTAAGAAATCTCCATAAACGCTTCAGCTTTTCCAAAATAAATTTATTTTTTAAACTCTCTTCTCATGCCCTGTATGTTAGGAAATATTCAATCCCAATTTGTCTTCATTAGACACACAGAAGCCTCTGCTATCCACCCAGTCACATGTATTAACTTAGTTATAAGCGTAGCCCTACAGACAGCTATTGGGCAAAATGTCAGCTTCTCCAAATGCCCCCCAAGCCATGTGGTAGCAGGCTCGGAAAGGGCTAACGGTGAAGGAAAGCCTAAGATGGCTCTCTGGGAACCAGCCCCTCCGCTTACCGGAGCTTCCTACCTTCCTCATCTTGGAACTCGATAAAAATAAATGTCAATTGACCGTAGTCTGTCTTTCCAACATTTTGTTGACTCCTGATATACATTTCAGAAAGGTTACAGTCAGACGTGTGCGGCTCATGATTACCCATCTCACCATGCTCACAGTGTAATGGCTTTTGTTTTATGGCACGATGATTTGCTTCACTTTGGCTCTTCGTTTAATTGGGAGTCAATGTTCTTTACAGAGAAGCAGAAAGAGGGAAAGAAAAATGTTGAGTCTGGTTCATCGGGCCATCACAAGGAAACAGACTTTCTCAGGTGTCCCCCGTAAGTGGGGGCTTATGGCAAGGACATAGACAAAGTAAGACAAGACAGGCCGTGCAGCTGCACTCATGGAAGAAGAACCGAGGGACTTTGGCAAGATGGTGTCTCAACATCGGTTCTCTTGACACCAATTAACTGTGCCCTCTACCTACCAACTCCTACAGATACACAGTGTTCTATTGTAAAATGTATACTATTCTTCAAAGGTGTTCCAGGTGTTCCCCCCAGTGACTCAAGAGAAGAAACTATCACTTTTTGTGAAATGACAGATAGTCAAAAGGTTTGCTGACCCCAGGGAGAAGTCATAATTACCAGAAACCGAGGCATTTGGTATAACTAAGTAACTAACACAAATTTAAATCCAAACATCCTGGGCTTCTAACTGCAAATCAGCAGTTCAAAACCACCAGCCACTCTGTGGGATAAAGACGAGGCTTTCTGCTCTGGTCAAGGTGAATAGCCTCCGAAGTCTACCGGAGCAGTTCTGCTCTGTCCTATAGAGTCCCTATGGGTCAGAATCAACTAGAAGGCAGTGAGTTTGGTTCTGTGGAATTTTCCTTTGTTTTATATCGCTTTCTTCTTCCACTCTAAGAATACACCCCCTTGCCCCTTGAGTGAATCATGCTGCCTTGAGACTATAACGCTTATTTTCTTTTAAGATAGAATGTTGGTAACTGATGCGTGGCAAGGTTATAGTTTATGGCTAAATAAATGACAAGCGTGTGTCAAGAAGAGGATGCGAGGGGTGTTCCTTAAAAAAAAGTTTGAGACCTCAGCTTACTTGCACAGAAAATCTGTGATGAAAAATAGATTAACTTGTGACATAGATGGAACCCCCAAGCCTTCCTGTGTAAATCTCCCTCTCTCTTTTGCAAATTTTGGACTAGGTGGGTGTATTTTACCAAGTGCCGCCACAGCCTAAGCTGTTACAAATCCAATAATCAAGTTGTGCCTTCGGCTCTTCACCTCTGTGTGTCTTTATTGGCTTCTCTCGCACTTGTCAATGGACCCAGCACTTGGCACACAAAACTACTGCTGTGTTCACCAATTATGTTCTTTCTCTGTCCTCTGGTCCATGGTCCCTGGCTCCACCCACCACTTTCTGTCACGCCTTCCATCCATCTCATGACTTTCATTTACTCCAAGTTTCTGCTAAGGCCAGCACGTATCTGCCGCCTTGAGATTCTGGCGACTGACTTCCCACTCTCTCGGTTTCTGCTCGCAGCATATGACACAGTTCCAAAGCAGTAGTTCTAACTAGTTGGGCATCCTAGCCGGGGCTATGCACAAAGTGAGCTCTGGGATCAGAATGTCTTAGCACTTCTTTGGGTAAGAATATTGCACAAAGCAGGTTGAAACCACTAATATTAATAGATAAATAGAAGCTAATCAACCATAGAATTATGGTTAGAGGAGTCCTGGTGGTGTCCAGGGTTACAATTTGGGCTGCTAACCGCAAGGTCAGCAGTTTGAAATCGTCAGCTGCTCTGAGGAAGAAAGATGAGGCTTTCTACGCCCATAAAGATTTACGCTCCCCCAAACCCCCAGATGTCGTTTTATCCTGTCCTGCAGGGTCACTAGGAAACAGAAGTGACTCCGTGGCAGTGAGAGAGACATTGTGATTCCATTTTTATTGTTGTATGCTGTTCTTTCATTTCTGATTCACGGAGACCACAACTGACAGAGTAGAATTACCCCATTGGGATTCTTACGCTGAAGCTTTATGGAATCATGCAGCCATGGAGCAGTGGTGGGTGCACATTTCACTCGCTGCCTCGGAGTCAGTCCTGCCTCACGAAGACCCTGCAGCATGGCGTGGAAATGCCCCTGTGGTTTCCCAAGACTAGAGCTGCTTACTGACGTCGGAAGCCTCGCCTTTCTCCCACAGAGCAGCCGGTGGTTGAACTGCCAACCTTGCAATTCACAGCCAAACATGTCAGCACTACAACTCTGAGCGCACCATTATGATTACATTGTAAGGAATAAAAAATAATTGAGTTGAGGCTTTTTTAACAATTAAGGGAAGATTTCACTATTGCCATTTGTAAATTGTCTCTGAGACAATCACTAATCATTAATGGCTTACATTGATTTCCCCGGCGTGTTGTTTGGGTCCGTGGTTCCATTGAGTTGATTCCTACTCACAAGTACCCTGTATACACCCGAGCCGAGCGTCCTGGTCCTGCTCTGACGCTTGCTGTGGTCTGAGCCCGTTGCTGCGGCCACTGTACTGATGTCTCATTGAGGCTCTTCCTCTCTTTCAATGGCCCTCCACTGTGGCACCAGGGACTGACCCGTCCTGAAAATACGTCCAAAGTCAAGGCGCCGAAGCTCCACCATCCTTGCTTCCGAGGAGCATTTTGGCTTGATTTCTTTGTTCTGTAAATCCACGGTATGTTCAGTATCATTCACGACCCGATCACGTGAAGGTTTCACTTCTTCGGGCGGCGTTGTGGACTGCTCAGTTCTCACATGCATAGGGGGCAATTGAAAATGTCATGGCCGGTCCGGCACACCTTGGTCTTCAAAAGAATGTCATCTTTTTTTTAAAACCTTTTATTTATTTATTTTCTATCATTTTATTAGGGGCTGAGTTAGTTAATTGTGCCAGCCTGGCCAATAATCACATGTGGGGCTAATTGAAAGGCGGAGGGATAAATGGGTGGTGAAGCCTCGCCTTTCTAGTTCTCGGGT